TGGCAGCGTCTACACAGATCACTTGAAATATGCTTTTCAAGACAGTGGTGATTTTTAGGAAAGGACCGAATCAGAGAGACGGATTTAAACATAGTGTTTCCCAGTCCTCAAAGCCGTCCGACCGCAATGCGTCTCCCTGCCTAGACAGGAATGCCCCGGCGGGGAGAGCAGTCCAAGGAGATTTTCCAACGCCGGGGGAGTCGGAGCCCGACCCCCAGGCCCGGCTTCCTGCGGCGGCCCGCGCGGGACCCCTGCAGCGGCAGCCCTGCGCATCTCCGCGGCCGCGCGCCTCCCCACAGCCAGGGCGCAGGAGAAGCCGCGGACCCGCCGACCCCCTCCAGGAGCACGGCTGCGGCGAGGAGGCGCCCAGGGGCCCGCGTAGACCCCGCCGCCGGGAGCAAAGCGAAGGCGCAGACCGCGGGCGGCTTCCGCTCCGAGTCCGCGTGCAGCGAAAAGGCAGCAGCGCTGGGCGGAGAGCGGGGCGCGGAGCCCCGGGGGGGGGCACCCAGGGCGCCAGCGCCCACCGCGCCCCGGGCCCGGCACCGGGAAGCCGCCTGGCCTCGCCGCCGTCCGAGGCGTCCGGGCCTCCCGCGCGGCTCCCGGCTCCCGGCGCCCGGCGCCCGGCTCCCGGCTGGGAAAGGAGGCGGCGCCCGCTCCGCCCCGCGCCGCGCCCACGCGCGCGCGGAAAAATTCGCCGCGGAGACTCGAGCTGGGGACGCCTGTCCTCCCTGCAGCTCGCGGTCGGTACGCGTCTGTCCGGCCTTGCACAACAGAACCATCTTCCTGCGAAATCCCAAGTCACATTTGTTTTGCTCTCAAAACACCCGGATAGACGGAAAAGCCTAGGAGGCCGAATTACCCGGTGTGACCTGAGCCCACCTCAAGTTCTCCTTCCCCGCCTCTCCAGGAAGCTCCGGGCGCCCGCCCCGAGGGCAAGTGGGAGCTGGTCCCGTCCTGCCGGTCGGTCCTCCTGGACACCTCCCAGTCCTCAGCCTGGACAACCTTGGGAACCCCGCAACGTAATAATCTAGGCACAAACCCAAACTCGCCTCTCTTCTCTTGGGCGGGGTGCGCGGGGTCGGAATTAAATTCCGAATCCGGTCCGTAAAGACCCTATGCGAGCTGCCAGTTCCAACGGCTCGAAATCCTACGAGGCACGCTCCACACTCAAAATCCTTTCTCCCTTTCTCTTGCAGGGTCCCTCGTTTAAACAGCGTCGGCGCCTTTATTCGCCTGACCCTATGCGAAGGAAAACCCGCCTGATCGGTCATTGTCTGGTCCGCGACCGCCCCCACCCCCGCCCCAATCAGTGTCACAAAAACGCCCCTTTCAACGGATTCCAAACCCTCTTCACCCAGGCGCACCGAGCCTTCAACTTCATTAAGTGCGCGCTACGGCGGCTCCGGAGGAGGCGAAGTTTAAATAAACCCGAGCGCAGAGGGAGGAGGGGTGGGCCTGGGGAGGGTCGCTAGTTGAAGGGGAGAGAGAGAGAAGTGTTTTTGAAAAGGGGAAAAAAGTCATCAGGGGAAAAGCGCTTTGTAACCACGAAGACGCGCCCGCTGTGGCGAGAACAAATTGGATATGGAGGGGAAGTGTCCGCCCCCACCTCCACTCGGCTCCTGGGTGGTCCGGGGAGCCCCTGGAGAAAAGAAAGATGGGGAGGGATCGGCGGTGAAAAGAATTAACCACTTTAATTGGGCTGCAAGAGAGAAGTAGGGAGAGGTTCACCGATGTGCCTCGATCACCCAAATCAAACGCCCTTCAATAAAATAAAATAAAAATGCCTGCCCTTAGCCCTGGCTGAAAGGCGTGTGTCAAAAGTTTGAGAATCAAGGCCGTTCTCAGCCATAGAAAGTAAATCTGCAAGATGGGGTAAAATTCTGTCCGGAAAGACCCCTCCCCCTCCTCGTGGCCTCGGGCCTCGCGGCGCCGGATGAAAAGGAATGAAATTGAACGAAATTGAACGAAATGAAGTGAAATTGACCAGTGAAATTCGCCAATTTTCTTCCCTTTAAACTGCCCGCTCTCAACAGCACTCTCTGAACCCCAGGCCGATTTCTTAGCTTTTTTTTTTTTTTTTCTCACCTCAAGAGATGAAGGTGTGCCCTGGATATTTTCTTATTGTCACCGATTGTTGGGGCCTCTGGGGAAGGGGGGCGGGTAGAGGCTCAGCTGTCTCCACCCAGACAGGAAGGGAACCCACAGAAGCTGCTCCAGATGGGATGGCCTGTGCCTCCTCCCAGCGAGCTGGTCTCCAAGGTAAGCTGCCTTACACTGAACACCCACCCTTTGCACCCACAGGGTGGGAAAGAGCCACTTAGGGGGTCTCTCTGGTCTGGGGGAGTGGGCGGGTAAAAACAAACACAAGGCTCTACCAACAAATCCGCAATCCCCTCATCCTTCTTGCTCTTCCCTACTGCCGGGTCCTGTTCCCAGGTGGGTCCTTACCAGTTCCTAATTTACAGGTTCTGGGCGCACACAACCTAAAGGAGTCTCCAATTCTAGACACGCTCCCATTTCCCCTGCCTTCAGTAGTGCGGCTCTCACAGCAATTCTTTTTCTGGTACTTTCCAAGGCCAGTTGGGCATCTGTGGCTTCTTTCTGGCCCCCAGTCCTCAGCCATAATCCGAGCCAGATCTGGCCCTTCTTGACCCATGGGGAAACTGGGATCTGAGGCATGGGTCTGGGATCTCGAGCTTCTTAGAAGCCCCTGGAAGGGTGCATCTCATTCTCCCCTAATCCTCTCGTTTCTGCCTCTTCCTGATACGGACCCTGATATGGATAGACATATAGACACAAGCAACACGCTCCGATGAATTTACACGCATTTACTTTCATAAAAACACACTGAGGGGACTGGATCTCCTGCTGCTCCTGGAAGTAGCGACTGAGGCAGTAGGTCGCGTGTCTGTCCGCCTTCAGATAGGCATTCTGGCTGACTAAATTTTCTAAAGAGGAAAGGCCAACTGATAAATCTTTTACTTGAAGCTCCAACCTAGCATCTGGGAGTGACATATTCATGGTAAATGAGATCATGTAAGCTACAAAATGCTTTATTGAGGGCAAACACACACGGTCATGTTCAAACCTCCTCAAATGAAAAGAAATGAAATCCAGCTCGGCAACGGAAGTCAACCAAGCTGCCTGCCAGAGCCATCATCCCAGTATCAGCAGGCATTTCCCGTTCTGCCACTGACTGTAACCTTACTTCTGGTGGCTTGTTTGATAAGATCACGGGAAGGTGGCCCACTGCATTCTACCTCCCCACCCTCCCACAGTCCCTCAAGGAGAGGGAGGAGAGGGCACCCCACCTCCGCAGAGGGGCTGCACTGACCGTCTGCACTTCCGACCTTGTCTCTCCCGTGTTCGGGAAACAGAGGAGAGACCTGGGAGTTCCAGCCACAGTTCCTCAGCCCTGGTGCCTTCTCCCTCCGCTGATCCTGACCCTCCTCCCTTAGGGGCACTCTGTCCTCTACCTCCCTCCTCCTTTCCTGCAGTTGTTAATGCCTGGGAACCTGGCTAAAGGAGGCCTGTGGGGTTTCTCCCTGCCTGACCCTCTCAAGTTCTCCGGAGCTGGTTCCCTGACCCTGTCTTCCTCTTTCCTCAGCATGTGTCTATTTTCCGTGATGGCTGAACTGCCTGGCTCTGCACCTCCACACTTCTCCTTCCCTCCTATGTCCTCAGTTGAACGTACAGAGAAAAAGAGCTAAGTAACCATCTTTGTTCCACCCAAAGCATCCCCTCTTGCCCCACATGCTTTCGAGTCTGGCCAGCTGAAATCCCTGGCACGGGCAGCAAGCCCAGACACACTCCATGAGCTTATGGATGGCTCCAGCCATGACTCCCGATGGTTTTGCACCCTGGCAGTAGGTTCTGGCTGTGAGCATGGCTCAAAGGTTGGGAAGGTTTGCCTTAACAGAGAAGGACTGCACTGCCTCTCTCCTTTGGCTCGTAGTGTGCTTCTGACCCTCTCAGGCTGGAGGAGAAAGGGGTTTCACAGTCCCCCCCCGCCCCCCGCGGTTCAAGCTGTTCGTTAAGACCTGTCCACAGCAGCAGGAGTGAGGGGGATCAAAAAAAAAAAAAAGGCTCTACGGTGGCTAATGAGAGATCTCTCTCCTCTTAAGAACCCAGAAAAAAAAAAGTGACAATCACAGACATGGACACATTCGTGAATACACGAAGAAATAAAAATACAGATATCCCAAAATACAACTTACCACTGCCCCAGCCCAAAGAAGGACAAAAAGGATACGTGACGACCCTCAGAAACACAAAACAGGAACCACAAGCTCCATGAAAACCTCTGCACACAGAGGCATACAGAATATGCATCCAGAGACACATTCACTCAAACTGTACTTAACAGGTAGAGTGCCCATGAGCACTGGGCACCCAGGTAAGCCTAGGCCACGCTAAAGTCCAAACTAGAAGATCTGAATCCCCAGGTGCATTTGAAACAAAACCTCTCCGTAGAACCCCAGGCAGACATTTAGGACCAGAGCGAAAATGAAAGTGCTACGGGGTCACAGGCTTCCCAGAGTCCCGGCCCCATGAAGAGCCCAAGGCCCAGGCCACAATATCCCACATATCCAGAAAGCCCAGGGCCCTCCTTTACCTGTCCGGGCTGCCCAGGGCCCTTCCCCACTCCCGCTCTACCCGGGAGTCGGGTGTCTGGGAGAGCCCCGACGGGGAAAGGGGAGTGCAGGCAAGCAGACAGAGCTGGTGACTGCCAGAGTTCACATACATTTATTCAACTGACACCGATGGGAATGGGGCGGGGGAGCCAGATTTTTCTTTTCTTCCACACAAACCATCAGACGATTTCACAGAGTCTCCTCGAAGTGAAGTCTAAATCAATGCACACACAGTGGACAGAGAACGCACACAGCAGCTCGCTGTACAGATATTTACACGTAATTACAGGACCCCCTGCCACAGGATGTGCCCTCGCCCACCCCACCCCCACCTCTCCAGTCCTTGACCCGGACCCTCCTCTCCCCACCCCAACCTCATTGCTTTTAGCTACAATAAATATCCCAGGGCCTGGGACAGAGCAGAGCGCTGAGAGGGCCGCTGGCCCTGGATGGCTGGACCCGGCCGGCCATGGGAAAGGGGGAAAGTTCCTTCAAAAGCACCCCAATACAAAAGAGGGAGGATGTTCCTCAGTGTAGTGGGATCCGGGGTTTCCGCAGGGATTGTGGAGACCCCCCTCACTTAACCTCTCCCTTCCACTTCGCCTGTGTAGACACTGCTTTAGGCTTCAGCGAAACGAACTTCCTTGAAGGGCAGCAAGAAAAAAACAAATGGGAATTTTCTTTTAAGCACAAAGCGGATAATAGGCATCTTTAAATTATCGTGTTGAACAAGCGGAGCCTGGAGGTTGAGGAAGGAGCGAGGGAGAGGCAGGAGGAGAGAGCTCTCGGCGCAGTCGGGGTTTCTGGCGGAATCCGCGGGCCGGGCAGACCTCTCCGGCGGGCCGTCCTCCGGCCTCCGAGGGGCGGGGGCGCAGAGGCCGGGCGGGAGTGAAGGCTCCCCTGCCCCGTGTGCTGCTCAGGTCGGAGCGGGAGCGGGAGCGGGAGCGGGAGCGCGGCGGCGGCTGCCTCGCGTAGGCCCGGGCCTCTCCCTGCGCCGCGGAGCCCGCGGCGGCCCGAGCAAGATCCGGAGCCCGAAGTGCCAAGTCACCGCGCCGGCCCAAGGTCTGGAGACTCCTCATAAATAGACTCCCTGAGCTCCGCTGGGGCCGCGGGGCGCCCGGGGAGGCGGAGGCGGAGGCGGAGGCGGGCGCGCGGGCCTCGCCGGGCCTGGGCTCGACGCGGTCAGAAGTGGCAGCCGCTGAGGCCGGCGACTTTGCTGGCGAACGGGGGCCCCGAGGACAGGAGCGCGTCCCCGGGGTGCGAGAGGCGGAGGTGGCCGGCCACCGGAGCCAGCGCCGGGGCAGTCAGCATGGCCAGGACCTGCGCCTGCCCCCCGGGGCCCGCCGGCGCCGCGAAAGGCGACCCCGGGGAGCCCTCGCCCCCGCCCGGGGGGCCCGCGCCGCCGCCGCCGCCGCCGCCGCCGCCGCCGTGGCCCATGATGTGGTCTATGGAGAAGGAGGGCCTCTGGCCGGCCCCCGCGCCCCCGCCGCCCGCCCCGCCGCCCGCGTCCGTCTTGAGGCCCTGGCGCAGGAGGGCGGCGGGCAGGCCGGCGGCGGTGCCGGCCGCGGGGGGGCTCAGCGACGCGGGGTAGAAGGCCTTGGCGCAGCCCAGCTCGGCGCCCAGGAAGGCGGGCAGGCCCGCGGGCCCGGGGCCCGACGCTGCGCCCGGGGCGGGGGCGGGGGCGGGGGCCGGGCCGGACGCCGCGCCCGCGAACACCGAGGCCGTCGGGGGTCCGGGCGGAGGGGCGGCGGCGCGGCCCGGGGGCACGGACAGCTGGCAGGGCGCGGCGGCGGCGGCGGCGGCGGCGAACGCGAAGGCGTGCGGGTGCGGGTGCGGGTGGGGGTGCGGGTGCGGGGCCGGGCCGGGCGGCGGCGCGCCGTAGGCCGGGAGCGCCAAGCCGTAGCCGTAGCCGTAGGCGCCGTAGGCGGCGAAGCCGGGCAGGAAGGCGCCCGCGTCCCCCGCCGCCGCGGCCCCGCCGCGCAGCAGCAGCTCCGGGTGCGGGTGCGGGTGCGGGTGCGGCGGCGGCAGCGGCTGCCGCTTGAAGCGCTTGCGGCGCCGCAGGAAGCTGCCGTTGTCGAACATGTCGGCCGACTCGGGGTCCAGCGTCCAGTAGTTGCCCTTGCCCGGGTTGCCCGGCTCGCGGGGGATCTTGACGAAGCAGTCGTTGAGCGAGAGGTTGTGGCGGATGCTGTTCTGCCAGGCGGGGAACTTCTCCCGGTAGTAGGGGAAGCGGCCGCTGATGAACTCGCAGATCTCGCTCAGCGTCAGCCGCTTCTTGGGGCTCTGCAGGATGGCCATGGTGATGAGCGCGATGTACGAGTAGGGCGGCTTCACCAGCGGGCTCCGCGCCGCCGCGCCCCCCGACGGCGGCCCCGGCCCCGGCCCCGGCCCCGGCCCCGCCGCGCCCCGGGCCGCCGCCGCCGCCGCCGCCGCCGCCGCGCCTGGCCCGGGGCTTCCCGCCGCGGCCGCCGCCCCCCGGGGCGCTAGAGCGCGGGGCTCGCCGTCCGAGCAGCCGCCGGACTCCTCCTCGTCCTCGGCGGCGTCCGCCTCGGCCTCCTCGGGAGGCGGCTCGGGGCCGAGCGGGAGCACGTCCCGGGGGGCGCGGGGCCCGGAGCGGGCAGGGAGCTCCCCCCCGCCGCCGCCGCCGCCGCCGCCGCCGCCGCCCACCACGTCTATGTCTGCGTCCGCCTCGGACAGCGCGGCCGGGGAGCTCTCGGAGGACATGATCTCGCAGCAGCAGCTGCCCAGGGTCATGGTGCCGCCGCCGCCGCCGCCGCCGCCGCTCTCCGGCTCCGCTCTCCGGCTCCGCTCCGGCCGCGGCTCGGGCTCCGCCGCGCTGCCTCTGGGGCGAGTGTGTTTTGCGCGCGGGCGGGGAGGGGGCGGGGGACTGAGGCGGGCAGGGAGGGGTGTCCCCCGGCTCCGCAGCGCCCCCTCGTGGCCCAGCTCGCCGCTCTCGCCTCTCGGGGAGCAGCCCGGCGGCCGCCCCTCCGCCGCCCCGGGAGCCCGAGCGGGCGCCTGCAGCCGGGGCGCGGGCGGGAGGACGTGAGGCTTCCCCCGGACCCCGGCCGCTCCCGGCCCCCAGCGCCCCCGGGACGGGGGGCAGGGGAGCCAGTCCCTCCCCGCCTCGCCGCTGCCCGAGGCGGAAGAGCGCGAAGCCGGGGCGGAGCTCCCGAGCGGGGCGGGGCGGGGCGGGAGGGGGCGGGAGGGGGCGGGCGTACGGCCTCGGCGGAGGGGCCCGGCGGGAACACTCGGCCGCCGCGGCGGGAGCTGGCTCGGGTGGCCGGAGGCGGGTCCTCGCCTTCCCGCAGGTCCCGCCGACGCTCCGCGCCCGGGAGCCGCCGCCCGGAGCCCGTGCGCTCAGCCCGGGTGTTCGGGTCCGCGCGGGCCGGAGAAGCGGCCCCCGCCGCGCCCTCGCCCTCCGCCTCCCGCCTCCCGCCTCCCGCCTCCCGCGGCGGCGCCGGGGCCCCGAGGCCGGAGCGCGGTCGGAGCGCGCGCGGGAGCCGAGACGCCGGGACCTGCGCCGCCGGAGCGGGCCCGCCGGATCCCCAGCGGCTTCCGGCCCCGGGGAGACGCGCCGGAGTGATCGCGACCGGCAAGCCCGACGCCCTCCGCCCGGCCTCGGAGAGGTGAGCGACCCCGCTGCGCCGCTCCTTCCCGACCCCCGGCCCCGCGCGGGGGGACCCGGGGCCGCCGCCCTCTGCCCGAAGCTTCCGTGCGGCGTTTCCGCGGCATTCGGGGCGCGCGGCCGCCTCCCGCGCTCCGAGGGCGCCTGCCCTCCGCCCTTGCCGGCCGGGTGGCCGTTTGTCTTGGGCTCCGTGCCTCAGGGCCTCCGGTCAGTCTCTGCCTCCGTTTCCTCTGGAAACCCTGCGTTGGTCCGGGCGTCTCTTCGTGGGTGCGAGAGTCCCTCGCTGCAACCCTCCCCTTAGTCGCCCCCTTTCTGGCGGACTTGTGGGCTCAGCAGACCCGCAGCAGGACCCTACAGACCCCTTCCCCAGTGACCCCGACCTCAGCCCCAGGCCAGCGTTGCCCCGGCTCTCTCGGGAGGGAGCCTGTGCGCCCGAGGTTGGCCCGGAGCCCTTCTTCTTACCAGCCCGTTGGACCCCTTTCCCCCCGGGTTCCCAGGAACCCAGCAACCAGTAGCTCCAGCTTAGACTGGGCCCGCCCCAACCCCGAGGGGCGACCGGGGTGAGGGCACCGGTCGTGGGCCTTGGGCGAGAACGGAGCTGATGGATGGGCGGCTGCCCCGCCAGCGCCGCGCAGTGGTCAGAGCTCGGCGCGCGAGGCCTGAGCCCCCAGCTGCCCTCAGCTTTGCCCGGGCGGTATGACAGTCAGCAAGCTGCTTCCCTACCTAGCCTCAGTTTCCTGCTTTGCCTAGTAGTTAAGATCAGGGACCCTGAAAAATTAGGCTTCGGGGATTCTGGTCCTGGCCCTATTTCGAGGTCTGTCGTCTTGGATAAATTTCTTAAACTCTGTAATTGTTTCTTCCTCTATGAAAATGAGATTTATTTTTTTTTAAATGGTGGTTTTATTAAAGCAGGGGGACAGGACCCGTGGGCAGGAAGAGCTGCTGCCCTGGGCCTGTGGGGGGTGGCTGATTATATAGCTGGGAGTTGGGAGGGGTTGAGGATAGTGTACTCTCTAAGGAAATTTTGGAAGCAAGGTTTCCAGGACCTTTTTTTTTTTTTTTATGATAGTCATCACACACACACACAGAGAGGCAGAGACACAGGCAGAGGGAGAAGCAGGCTCCATGCACCGGGAGCCCGACGTGGGATTCGATCCCGGGTCTCCAGGATCACGCCCTGGGCCAAAGGCAGGCGCCAAACCGCTGCGCCACCCAGGGATCCCTGAAAATGAGATTTAAAAACAACCCACTTCATGACTAACACGTAAGGTAGCTCCGTCAGTCCAGGCTACCTAGAAAGAGGGTTTGGAGAGCACTTTGCAGACTCCTGGGGAGAGAGAAAGTGGGTGTGGGTGGTGTAGTCTCCCACCTGGATCTCAAGCCTGGGTCAAGCCCTCCACTAGTTTACCCCTACTGGGCTATCGAACCCCCTCTGGTCACTGTGCTGGGTCAGATCCCCTGTGGATAGTGCTGGGAGCAGGGTGGGAGGGCATGCACAGCTCCTGCAAGCTGTAATTCAGCAGGGTTGAGGTCAGGATGGATACATTATCTCTTTCATCTAACAATTTCCAATCTATGGAATAATTTAGTGTAAATCTAACTTTCCCATTCCACTGGTGGGGCAAGAGGCCCAGAGTGGGGAAGGGACCCACCTAGAGTCCTACCAGGTAGAGCGGGGCCAGGTGCTTATCTCTTAACCTTCAGGAAAGAGGTCTCCATCCTCTCAAGCCATCTTGGCTAAGAGCAGAGGGGAGTGGAGGCAGGTCTGGCTGCGCCTATCCTGGGAGAGAAAGTCCTCTGTTCCCCCTACATACGCTCCTCAGACCAAGGGAATCCACCTGGTATGCAGAGTGCATAAACAGACTGTCCTCCAGAAGAAGAGAGGTCCAGTTCTCAAACCATGGACTGGATTTGGGCAGGGGTAGTGGCCCTGAGGGGGTTAGAATTTTCCAGGTGATGAGGCCCTCCAGAAAAAAAAAAAGTAGGGGGGTGGGCTTTGGAAATAAGTTTTTTTGCATGAGTTCAATAAATTCACATACCTAGGGTTGCTAGATTTAGCAGATTTATTTTATCTGGCAACCCTACACTTACCCCAGCTTGTGTGTTACTTCATGGAGATCTTTCTCACACTCACAGATCCCCCATACTGTCTACCACACGTCAGCTCCAGCCTCGCTCTTCTCTGCTAGTGGCTGAGAAAATGGAGGGGAAAATCAACATTGGCCTCATCTTGCTGCAAATGAGTGTCTTCATTTGTGAAATGGCAGGCATGAACCAGTCAGTAACTTCCTTCCTTGCTAGCACTCTCAGGTTCCCCAGGCACCTGCCCAGCTCCGGGGTAAGACTGGCTGCAGCTGCCGGCTGTGCCTCTGCCTGGCTCTGCTGCACGCTCCCTGGCAAGGAGACACAGGTTGGGGAAAAGGGACACAGGCCCCTAGCCCTTGTTCTGCAATGTGGGGGTAGAACATGATCCCAAGGAATCACCAGACCCCTCAAACACACATGCACTTCTACAGGAGTGCAAACAGGCTCTGGAGATCATGTGACCTGGCCAGGCTTTTGAAGCCCCTCACCCTACTCCCAGGGTTGGGCTGGACCCAGGTGTCAGAACTCTCAGGCCAGAACTCCTTTACTGATCCAAATAACTCTGCTTAGCCCCTGACCAAGCTCCACTCTTGCCTGGGGAGAAGTGTTTCTGGGAACCTCTCATCCCTCCCAAGGTTTTAATGTAATCAGAAGGGCCAAGTTGTCTTGACCAAAGCCAGGAGGAGGTGAACTGAGTGCCCTGAGTGCCGGGAGAAGGTTGATCAGGACATTTGCAAGGCATTTCGTTTTCTGCCCTGGCACCAGTCTTTCCCACCTGTGGGCTCAGCCTCTTCCAAGCCCCCCCCCTCCCCGGGGCACATTTGCTATCTGGGTGACTGTCACTTCCCTCCAGGGAAATCCTGTGCTTCAGCCCCCACTCGGGCAGCCTCCCAGGAAGCAGGAGACAACAGGCTCTGTGGGTCTTGGTTACAGTGTCACCTGGAGAGTGTGGCTTCCTCCTTCCTCTGCCTTCCTATTTGGTCACCTCCCTGAAGCAGCCAAGAAACAACTGGAAGGCGGCTTTGCCAGGCGCCTTTGGGAGGGGATCCGCCCCCAAATGCTCGGACAGCAGGGAGTTGCGTGTGTACTGCGACGTGCTGCTGGCCATCAGCGGTGCCCCTGTCTTTGTGGCTCCTGCCTTGCCCTCTCGAGGTCGCTGTATAGACGTGCTGTTCTCCACAAGGAGAAAGGGGAGAGCTACGGGGGGGGGGGGGGAATGTTTGGAGAATGTAATGACATCAGTCGCGAAAGTGGCGAAGCGCGGCGTGGAGCTCCAAGAGGCGGCGACGCGGGCGGCCCGGAGCCGCGCAGGGGGCACCGCGCGCTCGAGCGCTTCTCTGATTTTATTCCCACACCGTGGCCAGCCTCAGCGACGGCGGCGAGGCCCGCGCGGCCGCCCCGTCCCTCCGTCCCTCCGTCCCTCCGTCCCTCCGTCCGCCTGCCGCTCCGGGCACGACAGTTGCTGGGCCGAAGCCGGGACGTCTCCAGATCCTTTTCGCACCCAGCTCTCCACCCGTTGCGGACCGATCCCTGGGCCCGGGCGGGAGGGAGCGGAGACCCCGGGTCGGGAGCCCTGCAGCGGCGGTGCTCCCCCGCGCACGCCCCGGAGCGGGGCCCCAGTCAGTGTGGACGGGCCGATCCGCCGCAAGCGCAGAGACCGAGAGCTGCCCCGGCGCCTCCGGACTGTTCCCCACCCCGCCACGCCCTGGACTTCTCTCCTTCCCCAGCCTGGCCACAGTCGCCCCCCAGCTGCCCTATCCTGGGACCGCGTGGTGGGGGCTTCGCTTGAGCCCGGAATGGCCCCGGCCCCCGCACCGGGTGAGCCCGGGCGAGCTGCGGAGCCGTCGGCTCTGGTTCGCGGGAAGAGGGTTGCGGGCCCAGGCGGGGCCCAGGCGAGGGTGAGGACGGTGCGGCTCCGCAGCCACCACCACCCCGGGGCCTGGCCTCGCCGCGACCCAGGGGCGACAGGCTCCCCCCGCCGGGAGAGGCGCAGCTGGGCGCAGAGGAGAGGGCGCCCTTTCCGAGTGTGTCCCCAGCCTCGGGGCGGCGAGCCCCGCTAGAGTCGAAGTGCGTCCTGGGCTTTTCGTCCGAGGGTCCGTTCCTGCGGAGGCGGAGGCGGAGGCGGTGGCGGTGGCGGTGGCGCCGTGTGTCCGGCCCGCGCCGGTCCCGAGTGCGGGGACCGCCCTGGACGCCTCGCCATCCGGACCGCCGCTCCGCCCAGAGGGGGCCCGCCGCGTGCCGCCGGCGGCTGGAGGCTGTGCGAGGGCGCGGGGCCGCGTGCGCGTGGGTTCGGGACTGGAGCGGGGAGCGCGGAGGGCGCGGCGCGGAGGGCCCCAGGCGGAAGCGCGGCCCTGTGCGCTCCAGCTGCGCCCGGCGCTGGAGAGCGG